TTATTTTCATCTCTAATTACAAAAATTTAGAGATTCAAAATAGCATAGGTCGAACAAAATTATAAAAATCTTGAAAATTGAAGGTCTAGATAATAAATTAAAAGATGCACTATTTTTAAAGCTTGAAATCTATTTTTTCTCATATCCAATTGAATTGACGGTTTTTTAACATTAAAATAGCCTCTTCTAGTGAATCTTCGTGATGCATCTTAATTTGATCATTTAGGGCCTCACCCATACATAACTTTTTCCTAATTTTTTCATGTCATTGTGGGTACAATTAGGAATTTTTTTTTATTGAGCTTAAATATATTGGTTGAAGAGGTTACATCTCCAAATTTTGGAGTCGTAAAATTAATTTCAGGTGGGGACCCGAGGGAGCACAATCCACATTCTACTCCCAAAGGAGTAGTTTAGCATACCTCCAATTATGTCGTCAACTCGCTCATGAACCGCATGACTGCGTATGCGGGCTGGACCACATGACTTCATATACGGTTCAAAAAGTGTAAAGCATCTATCTAAAAGATGGACGCAAGTTGGTGTTTCATCTAAAAACAGTGGAAGCTAAAAGTCCAAATATTTTCTTACTAGATTTATTATTTTTAGTTTTAAAATTTGACATATTTTTTAATATTTATGATCTCCGTGTTAGAGATTACAAATCCTTAAAAAATCCATCTCAAAATAGATTTATTAATAGGTCCATATTTCTACATATGTGGGCTTGGCCACATAAAAATTGGGTCCTAATATACTTTCCTATAGTATAGACTTACTTAGGAGGAAGTTTTTTACTAAAAGAAGACCTACTTGGGAGGAATCTTTTTACTATGATAGAAAACCTCTATGGGAGGAGTTTTTTACTTTGAAATTTAGGGAACCACTATCAAAAGAAAAAAAAAAGAAGTTTGCATTTTGAGTTTTTAAACACATAGACATTACCTTGAAAAATTGGACAATCTCTATTCAATATTGAGACATTATTTTTTAATCTCGAGACACCATGCTTTTTTTATTGGAGATTGGTTGGGTGAAATGGAGCAAAAAATGGTATAATTTGCAAAATAGGATCTCAAACTCTTCTTGTTTTTGGGCACGCATGAGCGTTATCTCAAGACGATATCTGCCTCCCTTCAATATAGTATTTGGTGTGCATAGGAAGGGCAATACGTCCCCGAGATACATGAAAACAGATAAGTATTTTTCAAAGTTCCTAAGCTCTATGCACTCGAGCTTGGAACCCACACAATAGACACCGGAGTCTTGATAGTTTCGAGAAAAAAAATCGAATAGAGAGAGAGTTAGCCCACTGATTTGCTTGTTGGAATCGTAGAGAATGGTCTATTGAAAAGGCTAAAGATTTGTTCTAAGTGTGTAAAAACATATAGGTAGCATCAATGGCTAGATGACTATTAGATCCTCCTACAAACTATTAGGATATGGATATCTCGAATTCATATTGATATACATCATTATAGATGTATGGGTATATATCTCTTGATAAGATTAGGTATCTAAAAGATAAGAAGAGACCAAGTCAAAGTTACTTTGTCATTTTGATGATAAAGTCTCCTCCTATTTACCAATATCTCTAATATTTATATCATATTTATCTCTTGTAATTATATGGTTGTCTTCTGTATAGAGGTACTTTTTGATATAAATATTCATCCAAAATAGTGAAGATGTAGTTAGTTGGGCTTTGGATATATGGAAGTAAGGCTTCAGATCTTATCTAGAAGAATAGTGAAGATGTAGCTAGTTGGGCTTTGGATCCGTGGACATGAGGCTTCAGATCTTATCTATAATATATATACCTATACATCCATAATGATGTGTATCAAACAAAAAATACTAACAATAAGGCTTTGGATCCGTGGACGTAAGGCTTTGCGAGCTTCACACATGCGCCTTCTCTATCTTTTGTACTTAGAGTATATTGCATGGGAATGTGTGGTCTTAAATACAGCTTTAGATTGTCTCCCATCTTCAATATAGGACTCAAACCCACATCTTTCTCTCTCTACAGAGCATTTTAGGAAAGAATAATAAAACAAATGTGGTTGTTTTGAAATACTCTTAAGCATTTTTCAAACAAAAAATACTAACAATAAAAACTCTATAATGAGATATTATGTCAAGTTTAAATAAATTCTGCATTCATGTTAACTTCTTTAAAATAAATTTCACAATGGTTGAGTGAATAACACAAGTGACATCACAAAAATGATGTACATTATATTGCTCTAAGCAATGGTTTACTTAAAATTAATAAAAGCACAAAAAGTATGAAAGGGGTTTAAGTAGGGGGACAAAACAAGTACCAATACTTTGTCGGAACCAGCTGATTAACAATCTTGATCGGCAATTCTAGGATCTGCTTAGAGGGTTTAAAACACTACTTCACGAAGTTGTCACTAATATTTGGCGAGCATCCAAATGGAGTTACTGATATGTTTTTAATAATAAATAAGACTTAGTAAATGAGTCAAACTTCGATGAAGAAAAAGATGAACTCTAGAGAAAATCAATAAGGGGTCGTTTGGGAACCTGGAAATCTATTACATGAAAATAGATTACACAAAAATATGAAATTTTCATGGTTTGAGTACACTGTAATAGTAAAAAAATGGAAAAAGATTAATTGAGATTTCCCAAAAATCAGGAAATCTGGAAAAAGATTACCCGAGATTTCCCAAAAATTAGGAAATCTATTAGGCGCGCTGAAGGGTGAAGCCAGTGAAAAATCTATTATGGGCAGGTAATCGAGGGAAATCTTTCGGGCCCGGTAGCCCTATCTTCTGGAACCAATAGCCTCCTTCCCTAAAAATTCATACAGCAAACCCATCTTCTTCAACTAGGAGCTAAAACTCGGATGTGGGTTCTCTGCTAAGATCAGTTTGTTTGCTATTGTTTATTGATAAATTCGAAATACTTGAGTTCACGTACAAACAATCGTCAAATCAGTGTGCTTGAATTGTTTTTTTTTTTAAAATTAATTTACCTCTTCAATCTCCTCCAATGCCCCAATATAATTTCTCCTCTAATACATCTCATTTAGTCATAAAGCCTTTTAGGTTACTAGCCAAATTTGTCCATACTTTTTTTTCTTTTGAATTTGCCTATGGAAGTTTTATGGAGAGTGTTGGGTTTATGTGACCTTTAAAGGCTTTATGAGTGCTTGTAAAATGAAATGATATAGTGGAACATAAACTCAGTGGAAGTGTGGCCCCTTGTGGACCATACTAAACAAACGATGTTTGCAGATACCGGACTGTGCTTTACCATCTAGGCCAGTCGGTTAGGAAAAACCTTTATTACCTGGGCATAAAGAACAAACCAAGAAGTGTTCTAATGGGTTAGTCCTTGATGAGGTCGGAAAATATGCCCAGATAAGTGAGCCGAGGGACTGTGTGACCCTTGTGTGCGATGGTGGCCTACAGAGACGGGGGCCAAAGCCTCATCCATGTGTCATCACACGACATGCATGTCGATAGATCGTTTGGGAAAGCTAGAAATCCACCTTTTAGGGTAAAGCATATGCATGTGCGATAGATACCCCTATGCACCATAGAGCTGTGATCGCATAAGGTCTTGGTGACCTTGACTTGTCTCTAGGGGAGGACCTGAAATCCACAGACTGGGATTGCGATCCCTTGGCTCGTCGGTCGGACTTTGGTGAGGTTCTGTTTGAACTGTGGGTCATGGGAAACACTGGGTCGGTCAGATAAAGCAAGTGTGGTCTGTAGTCCACAGTTAAAGGTAGAGTGCCCCATTATTGTTGATTCATAAACCATATGGATCATTTTCCCATCAAATTAATTTAATTGTATTTGTTTTATGATGAAAATTATTTTAAGATTATTATTTGAATTTTTATAAACCCTGGATATTTTATTTATAATTTTTGGATTTATAAAATTAAAGATATTGATTTTACAATTGTTTAAATATTCAAATAATATTCTAAAATCTATTAATTTTAAATATATAAAAATATCATGGGGGCACATTGTGCATATGAGCCATTTATATTTTTAGAAGGTGGGGCCATGAGTGCCTCCCTTGGGTGGCACGCCCCACGTTTATTCTCTTTCCTATTATTTTAGTGACATGACATTTGACCATATGGCTGGAAGATATTGACTAAATGGGAAAATGGTTTAGGAAAGAGGGATAATGGTTCATGCACCTTCCATAAATGTTGATGACCCATCTATGGAATGAATGGCTCAGATCTCTTACCCCACAAGTCACCTTTGATCGACGATCTATGTTCAATCTCACAAGAAGAGGGAAGCCAAAGAAAACCCTAAAAAACCCTAATCGTATTCAAAGTCTATAAAAAGGGATTGTCTCTACCAAAAAATCTCTACACCTTATCTTTCTATCTCTCTCTTAAGAAAGTTTATCTCTCTCATGTTTGTTCTCTCTCTCTCCTACATTGTGAAAGAACCTAAGGGTTTAGATTATGAAGTTCTTCTCTCATATCTCTCAAATATATATTTATGGTTAAGGGTTTTAGGGTTTAGCAAAAAGAGAATCCATCTCTCTCAAACTAAGTTGCTAAGAGAATTCACTTAGGGTTTGGGTTTGTGATCAAATGAGTTCATGTTCCATCGGTGTGGCTTGGCTGAAATTTGCTTTCCCGGTTTGAGATTGAGCTAGACCGTTGATCCCGCGCCATCGGATGGTGGTTACTCGGTGTAGGGTGTAATAAGCCCGATTGAGGTAATGTCCTGCACCCTTCCTTTTGTTTCTTGCAATCTTATCTTTTATTCTCAACCATAGTGTATAGTTGTTTTAATGGCATCAAGTTGTTAAGATCTTAGTTTTATTGTTATGTTGATTTTATTTTGAAATTTATCTTATTATAATAAATACCACCTGTAAGTGATATTTTGCCAAAATAAATGGGTGAAAAAAAAAAAAATGTATTCTCCTGTAAAAGATCACATAGGTCTTTCTTTTAGAGAGAGATGATCGAAAGGCTTTAACACAAGAAAAGAAAACATAAAAAGTATGATGGCTTATCATAATAAAATTATGTTATTCCAAAGTGTTAACATCTTGCAAACATATTATTCCAAGTCAAGATGCAAAGGCATACAAAATGTATGGCCAATTCTTATGCCTGATGCAATTATAAAGTTTGAAAAATATCTCTATAGACTCTATTTTCAACTTTCATTTTTCCATTGACCTAATATTGCAAAATATATATTACTACATAGAATTCTACTATGTTATTTCTTCTAACTTCTTAAATATATTTTATTTATTTTTTACTAATTCTTTTTATCCAAACAAATTTTAAAAAAACATTGTTTTCTTAAACCCCTCTAACTCAAATGAAATAATTCCCTCTCTCTCTCCCCCGATCACCCTCCCAAACCCCCCTCTCTCTAGCTGCCACCACCAGCACCTCCTCCAGAACCTTCTCCAGAGTCACCGCCAAGCCCTCTGCCACCACCACCCCGCCAAGCCCTCCCCCACCATCACGCTATAAAATCTGGTCTTTTCCCGAATCATGGGCTTTCGTTTCAGTGACTCCATCCTTATTTGTTTGAGTGAAGGAGAATAGAAGATTCGAAGCTTTGAAGGTGGAGAAATGATAAAATGGTCAGGTATAAACCCCAACTGAACCAGATCCTAGGGTTTCTTTAACAAAAACCGGCTACATTACGGCTTTAATGGTGGACTAACGGCGTGTTTTTGAGACTTTGCAGCATTTGATGCATTTAGGGGAATCGCCTGGAGGAGTGAGTTGCCGGAGGATTAACTGCGTTGTTTCCGTGACCGTTCTGCAACATAATAGTGGAAAGGACTAAAGTTAATGGATCAGTGTTGATTAATTCAATATGGCGTAGAGCCCTTGAAGGCCTTGTTTTATTCCGGTTAAGTTAACGGAAAGGCGTTTTCAGGACTTTATATCCATTTCCCGGAAGCTTCTAGCCTAATTCATGTCTTAAAAAGTCAAAACGGGGGCAAGTAAATTTTGGGCACCATAATGCCGTTAACTCTGCAACTTCCGTCAGGTATTGAGGAGGATTTGCATTTGTCCGTCTCTCTCAAAACTCTATGCTTTTTTTAGATATGGAAAATGTGAAAGTTTGGTCTTTTCCTTTGTGAATTTGATTTGAGAGATTTGAAATTCGGTGGAGAGAGAGGAAACGATAAACGTAGATGAAATAAATTTTGTGGAGGTTGCGGTAGATGAGCCCGGATTTGTAGGTCGAAAGTTAGAGCAAGAGAGCAGCTAAAGAGAAAGCTGGTAAGAAGAATAAAAGAGGGGTTCTGACGAGTCTCGAGGGAGAAACAAGTCAGGAGAGAGTTAAAAAAATGCGTTTTTTTTTATTTGTTTGGACTAAAAGGTAGAATAAAAATAGATAAAGATATTTGGGGTTAAAGAAGATTGGGTTTTGAAATTTTGAGTTTAAGAAGAAATAATAGTTGAAAATAGGGTCTATGGAGATATTTTATTTATAAAGTTTAAGCTACATACTAATAGAGATTGTACGTTCAATCATGTTTTGGGTATAAAGTTAAGAAAGAAAAAAAAAAAATGTATTTCTTCTGGATATAGCCAAACAGTAACAATGTATTTCCTAAGTTGCATCTAAATGCTACCCAAACAGTGACAATCCATTTGCAAGTAATGTATTAGACAGTAATGTATTATGTTAGTAATATATTTCAAAGACAATATATTTCAGGTATCCAAACAGCCTCTAAGTGAAGTTGTAGTTTGACCTTTATTTCTCTTTATGGGGTTTATATATTTTTGTTGTTATTTTTCAAACCTTAATTTATTTAAGCAATTTTATAATTTTGTATATAAAATAATTTTTTAAAAAACAATAGAATGTATGACTTTATTTAGAAAATATTGCATTGCATATTGTAATTGTATAAAATTATGAACTTATCTATTTTTATAAATATATAAGTTAAATATATTTATAACCTAATAAATATTTTTAAATTCTTATTTACAAGTTATAAACTATAACTTATAAATTTATAAATTATAAATATATATTTATAACTTATAACTTATGAATTTTTTTTTTTTTTTTTTTATAAGTCATAGATTATAACTTATGATTAGAACAAACTCTTAAAAGCCCGCTAATAAATTTAATTAACTTAAAAACCATAACATTAATTTACAAACCTACAATATAGTATTGCAAGACTACAATAAAAGACTTCCACTTTTTAACTTCTATGGAAACAAAGCCTAAAGCCCCTGTCAATTTACAATACACATGCTCCTTTAAACTCGATAATGAGATGGTATATCTAGTTTAAATAAATTTTAAATTCATGTTAACTTCTTTAGATGAACTCAAAACAAGTTGAGTGGGTAATACACATAGTGCCAATACAAAAATAACACGCTGCACTGCTCCAAGGTTAATTAAAGAAAAACCTATAATAGGCTAACAATACCACAATAAATAATTTCTATTTTCAACTTTTAGGCAATCCAACACACTTGCCCCTTTAAACTCTATAATAGAACAATATATCTTATTTAAATAAATTTTACATTCATGTTATTTTCTTTAAAATAAATTTGACACAAATTGAGTGCGTAGTACAGTATAATGCCACAAAAAAATGACACATTTGCACCATTCTAATTAGTGGTTTACTTGATATTAATATAAAAAACTATTTTTTAATAAAAAGCATAGCAAGTATATTACCTCTATATTGTTAAATGATTACTTTATGGATGTAGGATGGTTAGAAGGTATCTTAATGGATCTTAAACTGCTTCATGCATTTTCATGTATAAAAATAGATTTTAAATAACACATTGAGTCTACAAAATTCTATTAATTTACTTTGAAATAAGAATATAGAGCATGATTAAAGATAGAAAAAACATGTTTAGAGAAAAAAATATGATAGAGTGATATTGCAGTAGGGAAAATGGATTCAAATAGAGGAATTAGAGATAAAATGGGCAACGATTAGAGACAAAAGACTTAATAAATGACATCAGAATGTTGTTAGACAGAGAAAAAGCACAGTAGATTGAACTTAAATCATGTGTGGACCACATGCACTCTGCTAGTACCAATGTATGCCCCCGTAAATTAACAATAAATCATGTTTTCACATGGAACAGAGATGTGGATCAAATCCCAAGCTAAAGTAATGTATGGAGCCTCTTTATGCCAAACCATGTTGCATGGTCCTTCCCTCTCATGGGCCACTGCAAACTCAACGTTGATGGTTCTTCCCTTCGGAATCCTGGTGCAACTGGCTATAGGGGAATCATCAGAAATGACACAAGTGCTTTTGTGACGGTCTTTGCAGTCCCCTTTGGTTCACCTCCAACAATGTCGTTGCGTTTTATGCTCTAAATAGAGGCATCTCTCTAACAAAGGAGCTAGGCTGCAGACCTTTGATAATTGAGAGTGACTCCAAATTGTGACTCAGTGTAGTAAACCCCTATGGAAGCTGGTGACACTTTTGTCCAAATGCACGACTAGACTCTCGTCCTTTGCATACCAACAGTGTCAAACGTCTCATGTTCGTAGGGAGGCGAAAACAGCTGCTAATTGCTTGGCAAAAGAGGGCAACCGTATGACGGGCTCGCCCCCTAGATGTTACACACCCTTTCATCTTGCATTATATTTCTAGCGTACCTTTAGAAAGGGATGTTTGATGGTTGTACTTGTAATATTAAGTTGTATAGGCCTCCTGTCTAAATGGACTAGACTTACCCTTGTTTTTGAGAATGGGTAGAGCCTTGGCAGTAGTATAAAGCTGAAGTCTCTTGCTCTATTCTCACCAAAAGGGTAAGGCCGAAATCCCCCCTCACTTACGCTTCTCTTTTTCTTTTATTAATATTAAGTTGCAGGGGCTCATCCCCACTAATTTACCCCCCAAAAAAAAGAAGCTAGATGTGGAAAAGCCAAAGAAGGATAGCTTGAGAACTTTCTTTTGGGTGAATAAATTGGACACAAGTGTCAAATAGAAAACACAAATAGAGTTCAATCTACCCTTTGATTGTAATCACATGTCGACCCTGATTTCTTTCTCTTAATCAAGATTAAGAGATGAAAACACAAACAGAGTTCAGGTGGCAGACAATGCCAAACTACATCAACTCATGGGAAGACAATGTCAAGATCAATCCCATGCATTGGAAATTTTATGACACTTGAATTTAGTGGTGATAGGTGACTAAAGATTTTCATCTAGAACTAGTGGTTCCTTGAGACACGTGCAAGAATGACTTTTACATGATTGAATACTTTAATCCCTTTGATTAGTTGGCGAGTTTTCAAGAAACAGCATAACCAAATGTACTTTTCAAAGGGTAAGGTTTGTATGAGGTGTGGACCTTTTATACTATTGAAATAAGGTGTGCCTCAAAATTTTGCCAAAAATGCAATTTTGGTGCCGCAAAGCCTTGTGATAACATGAAAATCTATTGTGGCCTCATTATGAAATTTAAAGCTCTAGAAATGGTGACGATAAAGCATATCTATAAACATTTAAAAATATTGAAAATTGACAATCTAGATAATGTAAGAGAAGATTAACTATTTTTAGGACTAGAAATCCCTTCTTTTTTTTCATGTCTATGAATGTCCAGGTTAGGATGATCGATTTGAAGGTTTTCCAGCATAGAAACAAACTTCACTAGTGGGAATTTTAGGTGCACCTTACTCATAAAAGATCTTTGAAGGTACCAAGTCTGAAAGATAGCTAGGGAGATGGGATTGAGTCTAAATGTTTTATGCCACAGGGTGATGGGAACCCCAACTAGGATAAGAAGATCCCAAATCCAAGGTTCAAAGAGAACAAGAAGTCACTTGTGTGATGTTTAATAGATGTGTATATAATATTCACTATAAAAATTTATAAAATTTCTGCCCCATCCCTGGTTGTATGGTAGAATTTTATTACAATGAATGGAGAAGTTGAGTTTTTACTCTTAATGGTTCTATTTGCCTAGATGATGTAAGGTTTAAGCTGGGGGTATTGTACTGCAGTGCATTATCCATGGAGTCACTTATATGAGTGTGGAAGTAGAGGTGGCTTCCCATGAGAATTGAGCACCTTAAATGCACAAGCCTTTTAGAACACCTGCAGTTTTTTTAAAGAGAGTGTGCAGTATGTAGGAGGCTTATCAATAAATGATATAGTTCAAAGTGCGTCCACTCACTATCTTCGCAAGCATGCTGCATAACACTACATGGAGGTTCAAGGGCAAAAGACAAATTCACTTATGCATTCGTCTTTCTTGATACGTTTGAGAAAGTTTTATTATTTTGATATAGGTGGGGGATTATTAGCTTGCTGGCTTGTTATGCTTCAAAATAATAGTATTTGGACTATATAAGTTTGTGGTCACGAGGACTACAAATGAATAGTACTGTACAAATTAATGGTATTATGAATAGTAACATTCAAATGAGCAGTAATGTGAATAGTGTTGTGCAAATGAATAATATTGTAAATAGTGTTGTGCTAATGAATAGTACTATAAAAACCATATGAAAAGCACATGCAAGATCAAGTAAATAGTATGGTCTGTAGAGAATGGTATGAGAGGTTTACAATCTACTTTTCACTATCATTTGCAACCAATGGTTTAAAAAACGGATTGGTGGGATCGGGCACCCAAGAAACAGATTCGGATCGGCGAATCGACGATCCGGATCAAGAATCGGGTGAATCGGTCAGAATAAAGCTTAAAAAAATCCGAAAAAATTATTAAAATTCATTATAAATATTGTTTTTTAGGAATTCAATAAAAAAATGAGGATACTTCATTAAGAATTTTCATGTTTTTGAATGAATATGCGAATATTGATATGTTCTTTCCCTGCATGAACCTAATTTACATCACACAAAAGGATAAACATAGAATTATCATGGAATAAGTATATCAACATACATGGACTACAATAAAGCATAAAATTAGTAACATATGATCTAAAAATAAAATGATAGACGAAGTTATTGTTCTTCTTGGTCACGCTGGTGCCATTGATTGAATTCGTTTAACAATTCATTGATTCGATCTAAAAACGAATCATCGATATTAGCAGGCGTCTGATTATTCCGAAATCCCTGAGTGTTAGTGTTTTGTTGTGTTCCCAATCCAAAATCCCCGAAGCTTGTCCATCCTTCATGCTCACCTGCACTGTCGTGCTTATCCCTACACTGATGCTGTTGGGACTCGATATGTGAATAATATGGCTGGGATAGGGTGGCCTCAGAATCATCATCTCTCTCATTTTCTCTTTGAATAATATGGATTAAAAAAAAAAAATAACAAATTTTCAAAAAAATCGATCATGGATTAAAAAAAAAAATCACAAATTTTCAAAAAATTCTATCATGGATTACAAAAAAAAATTC